CCTCTGTCATTGCTCCCTTTCCCATTGTCTCAAATTGTTACTAAAGGCCAAAATAACAGAAAAATACAGTTTATTTGTTTGTTTGTTTGTTTGCATTCTCATCTTTGTTGAAGCAGACCAGCTAGTTTTCTGCAAATGGTCATMTATATTTACTGAACTTATTTTCTGTTTTTTCTGTTCTTTGGTTTTGTTTTGTCACAATTGCAAACCTTTTGTAAAAATGCTGTAATGGTGCAGTTTTTGACCAAAAGGGCTTGAATTGGTGCCTCGTATGAGTAGCTAATATGCAAATTACGAAATCTGCATTTGTAAAACGTTTTCTACACAAACTAACGAGCATTTTGATATTAATAGGAATTTTATTCACTAAAACATTATATTGTTGACTTGCACCTTGATACTTTAAAATCAATTGTTTGTGTTTAAAAACATACGCCAAAAGTTAAAAAAAAACATACAAAAGGTACTCATTGCAAAGTATGAAATCTGACATGCAAAAAAATCCTGAACTCTGTCAAATGGTGCCGTTTGAAAGAGTTTATTTTTCACATATTGAAATGAAGTTCTGGAATGTGGGTCCGCACTCACTGTAAACAAAGACTGAATTCACCGTAAACAGCATCAAAGTTTGAGCTGTGTGAGTGAGCTACATTAAGACCCTGTCACACAAGAACATTTTAGACAACTTATGCCAACTAATAATTTATACATCTGATCAATTAGTTAGAATGACAGTATGTACACTCCTAAAAGAGGCTTGCCRTTGATTTTTTWAAATCSRTCTTCAACGTAGATGTCTAAAAATTTTCAGAAGTTGGCATAAAGTTGTCTAAAACGTTACAATGTGACAGGGTCTTTAGGCTGTTCAAAGCATGTGCAGGTAAATGGATAGGTGAAACCTCACAGAAGACTTTTAAATTGAAATACTTTAGGACAACTGTCAAGAATAGATATCAGGAATCAAGCAGGGCTGTGGAGCACTGTTACACTAAGAAGCAGTTCTTCAACTAGACCGACAAGTTTAGCAACACTTCAGCTCTTTTTGTTTAACAAACGCAAGTGATTGTTGGCATCTGATCACTAATTGTGCTTAAAAATTATGAAATTAAAGGAGACAAGTCATGCTTCTAAATCTTTCTTTTAAACATTTAAATCCTTCAGTTTGGGGTCTATATAAAGTGGAACTACACTGCTTTGGTCTGAATTCCTCCTTAGTGTAACTCCACAAGCCCCACCCCTTTTCTGAGGTGTGTCTCAGATTAACGGGTTTTGAGGCTGTCTCTTTAAATCCAAACAAGGCGCTTCACAGCCCTCCCTCCTCCAGCTTCCAGAACCATGCAGTTTAGCTTGATAGAGGGTTTTACGACTAAATTTATTTTTCTACAAATGAATTAAAAGATAACAACAGAAGACTTGTCCATCCACCCTTACATGTTGCAGCCAGAGTCTGACCCAGACCACCAAACTGTACATGGTAAGACCTTATATAGACATCCCGTCACAAATACTGAACGGGTTGAAAAATATGACCCAAACAGAATGTAAAGATRTCTTTGCAGCACCAGGAGAGAGTAAATCCAAATTTTCTGCACTCCTAGATACTCGGGGTATACAAGAAAATGTAGTCAAAGGGGCAATATCATGTAAAATAAACTTTTTTTAGTTTTATATCACGTTATAATGTTATACTCTCATAAAAACATGCCCACAGCCTTGCTCTGACTCATTCATGCATGTTTGAGAAATCCTGCAGCGTTTTTAGGAATCCATGCTGAGGAACAAAACGACAGGTGGGGACCAGAAACACCTTTTGGCCCCTGGGACGTGTCTTTAAGCTGAGCTTCCTCATCATGGAGCACACCTCCCCACCCCACACACCCCGTCCATGACTCCTGCAGGCTCTCGGCAGTAACAGAGCGTGAAATTTAAACTGTCTGCGGAACTCTCAACATTACTTCTCACTCAGTGAAGCGCTTTTCGGATTCAAAATAACTTTAAGATGTATTTGCAGGCAACACCCCCCCACACACACACACACACCCCGCACTGAACGGGACAGGACAGAAGCAGAAGGAGGTTCTTTAAGAGACAGAGGCCAGTTTCAAGGCATTTAGAGGAAGTGATGAGAATATAAGTTTATTTTCTATTTAAACAGAAAAACAGCATTTTAATAACAACTGAAGGTGACATAGATACTTTATTATGGTATAGTATTTAATTGTATGCCTGAGAAACACATAATATTGCCCCTTTAACAGCTAAAAGAGTGGATTTTGCGTGATATGTCCTCTTTAACTGACCTGTACATGGTGTCCCCCACCTCTCACACAGTGACCACCTCCTCCTCACACAAAGTGGAAATAAAAGGATGGATGGATGGATGGATGGATGGATGGATGGATGGATGGATGGATGGATGGATGGATGGATGGATGGATGGAACTATTAATTGTCAATATGGGAAAACATGTGGAACAAGTTTTTACTTTAAGAATTATTTTTGGTTCGGTCTTCATGACTTTGCAATGAGTACCTTGAATACTGGAGTACTGCTTGATAAGAAAATTCTTTAATATTTGAACCATTTCCTGCATGCACTTTCTTTAAACACCCTGCTGTATGAATTTACCACAACTCTGCATGCAAGGCTCCTCAAGGCCATCAAACAACAACGTTTCTTGTTCTTTTGGAGCATATTTGTGCAATCTGACCTCTCTATTGCCAAAGAAGTTTGTTATTAAATGAAAGAGCCATGACATTTCAGGTTCTGCCTCATTGGCTCTTTGAGCAAACATGAATCAGAGTACAACACAACTAGGGTCTAGGCGACAATCTCAAGGTAAGCCTGCTTATCTAACATTCAACATCTTTAAGTGTTGTCGTGCAGTCATCATTTGCTCAATAATACTTATATGTGGTCCTTTTTTCTTTTCTGTGACTTTTGCACGAGCTTATCTTCCTTTTATTTTTATTTTATTGTTTTAACATTCATTTTCATCAAGATGGTCCTCTTGCTTGCAGCCATCTGACTTTCTCAGTGAGTTTAAAGTCTTTGTGATGCTCACTTTATGTCCTCTTCACTTCCAAGCATTTTACGCTTTGATGGAAATTAGCATGACTTTTTCAAGCATTTTAGTTGAAATTTGTATCACTTTACATGTTCATTTGGTTCTTATTTATCTCAAACTACATTTAGCGTAAGTTGTAGTATATTGGCAGTTATTAATGTGAAAATAGACTGCTGCTGATCCTGCAGCGTCCCCTGGTGGGGGCTGTAGGATATGACAAAATATGCCCAAAAAACTTAAAAACGTGAAAATTAAATTAACATGAAACTTAAACCTGAGCTTAAAAAAAGACAAGTTGAGTTTAAAATTAAATATTTTACCAGAGCGGGTTTAAGTTTGTAAAATGTGACAAAATAACTTATATTATAAATATTTTAAAATATTCTAAAAAGTCAACAAAAAAGCACAAACAATAGGCTAGGTGAAATGAGAAATTCCATTCATTTTCTCACACTGAAATCATTTTTAAATTTGCATGATTTGTGTCAGCTGTAGTGTGTCTTTTTATGATTTAAGCATATTTTATTTTCTTGTGACATTTTTTTTTATGCAAAGGCTCTTTCGGTGTGCTTCCATGAAGTTGCTAAAAACATAAAGTAAAATGTAAAAAAAATGGCTGTAAATAAAACTCACCTTTAATAAATCCGCAACTTCATGTGGACATTAACTGAGTTGTCACAATAAACGCTGCCCATTGTTTTTGTGTTTCAGCGTGACAATGTGCTGTTCTGATCTGTGTGTTTGTGTGTCTGCTTATGTTCTACATAGTGTTGCATTGTCTCCATCATGTAGACTTCTTGAGAATAGTGCTATCCTGGATGAGTGCGAATGGGCGTCGGGGGGAAAGCGGAGTGGAGATTTACACCAACACCATGCTGAATGATGGGGGGACACTTTGATCAAACGGGCAAAGACGGATGCAAAGGACTAGATGAGAATACTCCATTGACAACGGGAATTTTTTCCTCCCTAAATCGGTCGTCTCTGTTCCTCACAGTCGATCCTGAATCTTTGTTTAACTGTGGGGGGAAAAAAGGAACACAAGAAGTTGGAGTGTTTTTTTCATTGTCTAAATTCTTTTCTAATAAAGCCATCGTGACTGGAGATATTTTTAAAGTTTTTTTTTTCAAGCATGAACAGTGGTGTTTTTAATTAAAAGCTTGCAGTTAGGCCAATCTGGAATTTGTTTGAGTAGAATTTGGACGTTAACTCATCCTAACATTATTGAATTTAAAAGCTGCTCAGAAGCAGTTTAACTTGATAACAGTGAGGTCGAAATATGCAGCTTCTGCATGATTCTTTTCTATCCAACAAAGCAATTACAAACTGATGATATTATGAAGGAAAAAACTATAAATTCATCAGTGCTAAAAGCTCAAAGGAAATAGCGCAGGTCTTGGGAAGTGGAGCTCAGCAGAAAGGTTATTAATAATAAATATCCTACCTGTTACAGATAGCCTTTTTAATGACCAGTTTGACCAGAGCGCTAAAAGATCAAATGTTTTTGTTCACAGCATTTGAACAGAAACCCACTTCACAAAATCTGAACTGTTGTTTTAGGATCAAACTTTAGAACATGTTAGGCTAAATATCATTATTCAAATATATTCACAAGACATTAATWCATGTTCAAAATCTAATCAGAACATGTTGGCTAACTCCCAACAGGCATTTGTGTTTTAAATGAAATTACTCACTTTTGTTGCTCAGTTTTAAACCTAGCTGACTTCTCCTTATAAAAGAGAAGTTCTTTGTATTGAAACAGACTTTTTATACCACAAAATGAAAATACGACTGTTTTTACATTGCTTAACTTACCTTTTGGGGCTGACAATATTCGTTTCCATTTTTTTTTTAAATAAGTAATGATAATGCTTCATCTTTTAAAAATTTCATTTAAATTTTATCACTAGTTCCACAGCTGTATGTTCATTTAGTGTGTTTTCAANCCCCAAGCGGACCATTATTGTAGAAGACAACAGATGAATTCTGCCATTCAGAATCGACATTTTCAAAAGGAAAATAATATCCATTTGCAAAGCAGGTGGCATTTGAATTTAAACTTTTTTGTTAAATCCGAACAGCTATGGGTAATTTTTCTGGCACAGCAATATGTGATGTAAAACATGATGAACAGCTAAGTACCAGTTCCTTGTGTGCCAATAATTCATGTTGTACTACAGAGGCTGTTAACATTTGGTAAAACTGAGATGTTTTAATTATTATGAAAGGGTAATTGTGTGTCACATGCTCAGGAACAAAAATACAACAAAGAAATCCACCTACAGTGTTTTCCTTTTTTCCTCTGAAAATGTTTTCTTGTAAAATTAATAGTTTTTTTTTTTTTTTTTTTTTTTTTTGGGGGGGGGGGGACTACAGAGTGTCAGAGAAAAACTGACCCTGAAAATGTGTGCTGTCAAGTAAAAAATTTTAAAAATAACTATACCAATAATCATGATATCTGATGGACAGCTTAATTAACTTTGTGTTTGCCCTGATGAGATTGAAGCCATGTATGCAAAAAAGAAAGTACATTCTTTTCCACGTTTACGGTTTTCTGTATCATGACATAAATAATAACATCATTTAAAGTCAGATACATATGATATCAGATGAACAACAATATTTGATTACATTTGTTACTTATGCAACACAGATCTAAGCCAAAATACCAAACTGTGGAACCAGCCTTGGCAGTAATAACTGAGTTAATTTAGCTCACAGCCAGTATTCTGCACAAATCATATGGCTGCAAAATAATAACAATCCCCAATGAGTATCTCTCCAACAACGCGTTTAGCGTGATAAAAGATTATTCCACACAGCTTATGCTTTGCTCAAATCAACATTTGCGGAACTAAGGTGTGCTTTTACATTAAATTATAATTTAATGTGCTAATGTTTAATATTAGCATGCTAGTTTAGGTCTGTAGATTCTGAGATTTCAAATTATTATTATTATTTCTGCATTTCAGAGTAATTTTTGGTAAATGGTGATATTTGAAATTGAACTGCTCTCGTTGTAAAACTTAAGAGCTAAAAATATTTTTGCTAATATAACATTTTGAACATGTCCCAATGCATAAAACCTTAGATTTGGAAAAAAAAATCTGGGGTTTCATTGTAATGTGACTGCATATTTCCAAAGTGAGGACATAATCTGCACTCGAGCTTAGCATAACGCTTTTTGTAAAAAAAATCCTAATAATAACATAAAAATAAAGTGAATAAGATAAATAAGAATAAATAGAAGTTTTGTATTCAGAATTACATAGATTTAAGCATTTGACATTTGTAAAAATGTGAATAAAGTTACATTTACACAACCTGACCAGTAAAACCAAATCCTTTATTGCTTATTAGCAACTTTTCTGAGCACATTGTATCATCAATTAGAATGCAGAGTGCAAAAAAACTCTTGAATGTAACACTTTTTAGCAGCTTTTTGAGATTTATTCAATGGTTGAACTTGAGTTCAGTCAGATAATGTGTATTTACTGGCAGGCGAAGCTATTGTTGTCAGTAACAAATGCAAAAAAATGCAACGACTAAATGCAACATCAGCATCCTTCACTTCCTCCTGTGTCTTTTGTTCTTAGTGTTGTCTCAGTGTGTGTTTGTTTGTTCTAACTGTGGCAATTTAATTTACTTTGCCATCGACCCTATGTAAAGTTTTTTTTTTCTGTTTTCATTGTACTGTATGTATTTTCATTCACTCTTTTCTTCCATATGCATAAAGTCATAAGCACATGTTCCTGAAAAATACTAAATAAAACTTTTTTGTTTCTTTCTACGTTGTTGAGTTTTTCTGTGTTCTCTTGATTTATAATTTATCATTTACAAATAAACGAATAAATAAATGAAATATCCAGCAAGTAAGTTTCTTATTTTCTTAGCCCTCTAATCTAAAATAGCTGTGGGAACATATTTCAGTTGTGGGGAGGGGGTGTGTGCTGGCTTAAATCAGATTTACAGAACTCATTAATATCAAAATAATGTTGGAATTCAAACATATAATAGCACTAATTGTTGTTCATTTTTCCCCTTATATTATTTTTTAAACTGTTGTGGTTGGACATGCATTTCCTCTGGCATCTTCCAAGGGGGTGCCGCAGCACCCTCAGCACCCCCACTTCTCATGGCTTTGACCATGCACACACAAACTGATTTTCCTGATCAGACTCGGAGGCAGAAATTCCTCTAACTGAGTCAGTCTGATTCGGATCAGTCGCATGCAGCAGGAGGCTGGTGAGAGATGTGCAGACTTGCAGTAACAGTGTTTTTATTTCTCTGCAGATACATCAGACAGATGCATCACTCCGCTGCATCTTGCCAAGTTTGACAGCAATCGGAGCTAAGGTTTCTCTCCCGCGTGCGTCCTGAGTGAACTCTTGTCCTGAGTAACTTTACTCATGTAGAGTGTCGTGATTTTAACTTTCTGATAAGGTTATTGTTTTTATTTTCTTTGATGCCTTGGACAACGAAGATGCATTTTGTGCTGCTCCACACCTGGCTGAAGTAGGCAAACACCAGAGCGTTGGATTCTCTCAGAGGACTGAAAGTTTGGCTCTTATGAAACCTTTAATGTAAAAAATAATAATAAATTAATTAATAAAAATGCTGATGGTGAAAAAAATTCAGGTTTTAAATCATTTTCATCTAAGCATTGATTTACAGACAGTTTATTTCTCATGTTTTCTACTCTGATGTCATTGCAGTGGAGAATGAAGTTATTTTTACGGCAAAAACAAAAGACAGAATAAAATGTTCTGAATAAAGTTCAATTAAACTTTAAAACTAACATTTTAAATTCTCACTATTGTTGATATGTTTGGTCTCCTTGTCACATTTCATACCATTCACAATATTTTCTTTTTTAGTGTTTTTTTAATCCATTATGGTGTTAATTTTGTATCATGAGAATAAAATGCTGGATCAAATGTTTTCAATAAACTAACGTTTTCTGATATCAATGACTCGTGTTCTTTTTTCACACTGAGTTAAAATCCCCAATATATTCAACTCCAACTGAGGTTATCAAAATTTTTTAGGGCATTAGTCTGAGAAATCTGATTTTAAACACTTTAAAACAAGACACACAGCTATGGAAGGCATTTGATTATTTTTTTTTAATTAGACAAAATATTGTAAATCAAAACTTTTAAAATGTCATCTTTATAAATGAAGCTTTTGCTTGAGTTGACTTAGGAAAATTATTTGTTTTAAGGCTTGTTTGATTTAAATTAGATGGGTTTATTTCTACCGTTTTCCATTGTTTGTTCTTTTTTTTTGTCACTCCAGTTTTCTGAAACAGAATAGGGTAGAACAAGTTTGTGTAAAATCTGTAATAGAATATGAATCAAAAAACAAACCTTTTCCAGTTCTCTCTTCTCAGCGAGTCAACTTTTCAGGTTTTTTAACATTAAACTCAGACATAACATATTGAATTGTTTCTAAAAAAAATTTTATTTAGTCATGTTACAATAACTTTAATGTATACAGTGGTCAAATTGTCCTTATCTTTGTTTTGTGTTTGTTTGACTGCTTATTTTTTAGCCTATGCTACTATGGTGTTGCTTAGAAATAGAAAAGTTTTAGAACTGTTGCATTAAAACCTCCTTGAAGGATTATTTCGAGCTTCTCATTGTATTTATCAAAAAAAAAAAAAAGACGTAAAGAGATTATTTTTGATAATCTGGTTGTCTGTTGTTTTCTCGCCTTCCCCGCCACAAGGTGGCGGTAAAAGCAAGCGGTTCTGCTCACCACGAAAACAATATCAAAGAAGACGAAGCTTACGTCATAATCATGCGACTTGACTTGTGTTTGACAGTGCTTTGCAATGCAAACATTTGAGTAGTGTAATGTTTGAAGTTATGCTTTAATGTTTTATAAAAATCACAATTAAATATCTAGACTCTACGGTAGGCTAGACGCTGTAGCTCTCGTTTTGTTAACGTGGTTTACAAACCGTAATAATGGCTTATGTTAACATTTTGAAAACCCTGCTGCACCGAAATCTGAAACACACGCAGTTCTTTGTGCAGCAATGTGGTTTCGCGCAGGTCGTGAGGAGGACGTTGTCCACGAGCACATCATCGGGACTGGTCCTCTTCAGGACAGAAAAGCTTCCTGCTTCAAGATGTCCCTCTGCGGCTCTTCACTGTTCGGCCAGGAACCGGAGCAGCCCGGAGGAGAGAGACAGGGCGGTGTCCAGGACCCGGTATCAGAGCGAGAGTCCCAAACCTACAGCTGGCCAGAAAGGTATGCAGAATCATCCTTTATCTGTGCACTGATGTTACTAAGCTGCATGGTTATTGTTTTATTTTCACATTGTAGATCAGAAGCCACATTGTCAACATTAGTGAGGTCCAGTTAGTGCTGTTACTTCTGAAATATTACATTTATAGGGGGAAAATGGCATAATGCAAAATTGAATCAGAGTGCAAGAAGCTGTCTTTGCTGTTTTAAATTATTGACCTCATGCATCAGAAAGAAGCAAATTCAATAAGAGGAATTCTGAATTAGGTGCTGTTAATTGTCTAAATTGAGATATTTTATGCTTGTATTTACACATTCTAAGTTGTACTGTGGGTAATCATTTTAGGTTGTCTTTAAATTTCATCTAGTTTTACTTGCTAAGAAAGCATTTCATGGCAGTTTATAAACACAATTTTATTAAGAAGACAAACTTGGACTAAAACGGCTTTTGATTATTGTCTTCCAGTGAAAGAAGCTGGTCGAGACTTCACCTACTTCATAGTTGTGCTCATCGGGCTGGGCGTGACGGGTAAACGCAGCAGCAAGAGTTCATAAATACCACCCCAAACACAGCATCTGATTTTACATCAAATAAAAGTAAACTATTATAATATTGTGTCTATTTTGTGTTTTAGGTGGGTTGTTGTATGTGGTTTTTCAGGAACTGTTTTCTTCCAAAGGCCCAAACAAAGTTTATGGAAGAGCCTTTAACAAAGTCAAATCACACCCAGAGGTAAGAATACCAGGATCTCAGATCAAACAGAAAAACGCTACATTATTTTAAAAGATTTTTTCCCCCCATTTAAACTGCAGGTGGTTGGTGCATTTGGAGAACCAATCAAGTGCTACGGTGAAACTACCCGTCGGGGAAGGAGGCAGCAAGTTAGGTGGGGGTCACTGTTTCACATRTTTCATGTGGTTTTAAACAAATTCTGCCACCAAGACATTAATGTTTATGGGTAATTTTATTATGGCATTATGGGTGGTTTTTTTTAATCTTTTTTTTTCCATTTCAGTCATGTAGAGTACCTGAAGGATGGACTGAAGCACATGAGAATGAAATTTTACATTGAAGGCTCGGAGCCAGGCCTGAAAGGAACTGTACATTCAGAGTCAAAAGAGGTATTTCTCCGATCACAGACAGACAGACGCATGCTATGACAAATTTCTCAAGAAACATCAGAGATTACTTGCAAAGAGGAAAGAAAAATTATTAGAATTTTAATGTTTTGTTTGGTTGTTTGTTTGTTTTTACAGAACCCTGAAACTGGAAAATTTGAGTTTCGTTATATTTTTGTGGACATGGACGTCTACCCCAAGCGGACCATTATTGTAGAAGACAACAGATGAATTCTGCCATTCAGAATCGACATTTTCAAAAGGAAAATAATATCCATTTGCAAAGCAGGTGGCATTTGAATTTAAACTTTTTTGTTAAATCCGAACAGCTATGGGTAATTTTTCTGGCACAGCAATATGTGATGTAAAACATGATGAACAGCTAAGTACCAGTTCCTTGTGTGCCAATAATTCATGTTGTACTACAGAGGCTGTTAACATTTGGTAAAACTGAGATGTTTTAATTATTATGAAAGGGTAATTGTGTGTCACATGCTCAGGAACAAAAATACAACAAAGAAATCCACCTACAGTGTTTTCCTTTTTTCCTCTGAAAATGTTTTCTTGTAAAATTAATAGTTTTTTTTTTTTTTTTGCTTCACCGAGTTTAATTTTCATGATTCTGTAATTACAGTATAGTTAGTCATTTTAGCAATTGTAAATGAATTTGCCATCTTAAAAACAAGTTTCAGTGTTATTAGGTCCTTTTCATTATAGTCTTTGAAGTCTGCATTTTTTAGACTGTAGTTTTCCACATTGACCATAAGATGGCAGCAAAGAATAAAATACAAAATAAAAAAAAATTTTCGTCTCAATTCTCATTTAAATATTGTTTCATTTGTTTTGAATATGTTTGAAATCACAAATCAAGATACAAGCATTTTATCTTGAAACAGTATCAGATTCTAATAAAATAATGTTATCTATAAGCCACTGTTTACAAAAACAAAAGCCCGTTATTTATTATTATTATTATTATTTTTATTCATCTATTTATTGGTCGTGCCAATATATATTTAGTCTCTTTAAACATGTCAGTGAAAATTTATTTCAACAGGTTTCCTTTGTTTTTATTATGTATTTTAACGTGTTTTCTATGACAATGTTTTTGTTTTTTGTTTTTTTAGTTTTTTTAACCAGTTTTTTTTTTGTTTAGATTATGTAATAGGATTAAGAAGTCCTGAAAACAAAAATAACGATCATATAACAACTCTTGCTTTAAACTTTTTATAAAATATTGTGAAACAGTTTGTGTCCCACTTGTGTGTTTTTGGCAGGTTTGTGGTACGTTCTATGACCCTCGGGAATTTTGGTATTCGTGCTTTCGATCCTAAATACAATCTTTATATAACTTTTCCCACAAAGTCTGGTACTAAGTTATGACTATCGGATTGGATATTAAAAGATTCTTTTAATTCTTCGCTTTGTAATGATTTTATGTAGCAGTTATACATTTCTCTAATTTTTTTCTATTTTTTTATAAACGCACAAAGGTATCGTACGTTTTACAACATAAAAGTACATGATTTTAATGCAGATTAATGTTAAAAACACTATCTAAAAGATATCCTGATTGAACAAATAACTCAATTGAAAACAATTCAAATAAAGTTATTTTTTTATAACGGGGATGCATATTTACGGGAAACGTGAAAGCAGCAGTCACATGAACACCGCCCATTGAGAAAAAAGGCAGCGCCTCAACAAGAGGATGTGGTCAGTCAGTCTGCGTTAGCTTCAACTCCGTTTGACTAGTTAACTTGTTTGTTTAAGTTAACTAATAGCTGGTCCTGTTAATAGGTAATGACAGGATACAAATACCATAAAGTAACATTTATGAAACGGGTTATTTGAGGTTGTTGTTTCGCTCTGGTAAATGAGTGAATACAGCTGTTGTTCTTCTGGCCTGCGACACGGKATCTTTTAGCAAAAACTAGCTTAAATCTCTGCCTGGCACCTGGAAGAGGACGTGTTTTGCCGTCCCCGCAAACACGYACAGAAATGGCACATGTTTGTAGTTAACTCAGAGGCTCATTGTGTCGCTTTAAAAGTAAGTTTACGCTCTGATAGCCGTGTTTGCTTTTAGCTAATCAGTAGCAAATTTTTACGAAAGTGGGCTTGGTGCTAAAGTTGCTTTCTGTTTTAAAGTTGACAAGCTTGGGCTTGTTATTAGATTTCTTTTGAATGTTGATGTGATGTAATGCAATACATTATATCCATGTGGTGATAACTTTAAAAGTAATTTAATGTTTGCAGGGAAACATTTCTGGCAAGGAGAGAGAAAGTAATCTTCCCGTAATGAGTCTCATCTTTCAGTGATAAATATATTTCACCAAATGGAGCTTTACTGGTACATGTGAGTACGATCTTTACACTGATCAAGATTTTTGTTGTGTTTTTTATGGAAAAGTGATGTTCATTTGTCTGTTACATTCTTAATGCTTTACATTTCCTGGACTAAAATAGCAGAAAAAAACCCAAGAAAAACATTTAAAATGGCTGATGTTGCTCAATACTACTTGAAATTGCTACATGAAAGTCTGGCTTTTTGGAATCGAATGTGAAAGGATTAATGGGAGTTTCCCACCAAACAAAGCCATCTAATTAACATGTCTCCCTTTTTTTTTCTCCTTACAGAGTTGTGATCATATTCATCGTCATAAAGATATTCTTCTACGTGTGCTGGTACCGGTCCAGACAGAGGCAGCTAGCTGCATACCTGAGCAACACACGCAATGCCCAGATAGTGATTGTTGGTGGGAGGGCCTACCTTCATCAGATGTGTGAGAGACAAAGTGTAAGTGAACAGCTCCATCTCCTCTTTATATACTCRCTGTCCACTGTAATTAGGTACACATGTCCAGTACCAGATTGGACCCCCTTTTTGCTTTCAGAACTGGCTTCATTCTCTGTGGCATAGATTCAACAAAATGTTGGAAAATATTCTGATTCATTTTGACGTGACAGCATCCCACAGTTGCTGCAGATCTGTCAGCTGCACATCCATGATGTGAATCGCTCCGTTCCACATTCAAAGTTGGACGTGTTGTGTGTTCAAGAGATGGGATATTTTCAATTTTTTTTTGGACCATTCTCTTTTAACCCTAAAGATGGCTGGGCCTGAAAATACTGGCCCATCTGAGAAAAACAAAACAAACAAGAATAAAACAGTCTAATAGTAAAGTTGCCACTCATTAACTCTCACTTCAGAAAGCTGCTTCTCACGTTTGGCATGCTGAGCCAGGTTGCGAAGGTTGTGTCCTAATAAACACATCCTTCTGTTTTTGTTTAATATTAAAGGAGTTGTAGAACAGCAGGTCATCGTTTTGACATTTTTTTGTGTCAGAGTGACATTTCAACCATGTTTGTTGAAACTATTATGCAACAATATTGGCAAGAATCCTAGATAAGAGTTGACTACTTTAAGGTCAACAGTTGCTTTTTTATTACTGGTACTCATTACCAAATGTTTACTTTTCTCATGAGAAAAATAAAAATGTATTGGAGGAAAATCAGTTGTTTTTAATCGTAATTGTTTGAGCTTGTGATTGAGCATATTTAAACTTAACTAAACTATATTGTTATGAAAAATAAAGGTTTACATTGTTAAATGTAGCATCAACAAGCTGCAGTCATAACCATTAAAGCAATAAGCCTAGCATTCCTTGAAATAAATGCATACCTCTTTCCACATTTAAAGCCGGTGATCATTTGAACTGAGATTGTTTTAAATTATATTGTGAGATATTGTGAGACGTTGCAGTTGATGTGTTGCGATATACTCCCAGCTGCTACCACACCAAACTTTAGTTCACTGTAAAATATATTAAGATGTTGTCGTTTTCATTTCATCTAAGTTCAGTTGTCTGTGGCAGTCATCTTGAATAAGGCGAAGTCTGTTTATTAGTGGTTAATGTGGTTTATCTATTKGTTCATAGGGTATTTTGCTAACAGGTAGTATTGAATGCACATAGTTGGTTAAACCGTCTTCTCATTTCCGAAGGAGGAATAATGGTAACATTAGATCTTGTGCAAACTCAGAATATGTGCCGGGGATTAGTCTCAACTACTACCACACCATAGTTTAGGTCAATTATTTAAAATCAGTGGACTTAAAATCATCGTTTGTCAAGTATAGTTGGTTGTGGAGCTAGCTTGAATCAAGTCGACTGTAAAAGTTAAATCAGTTGTGGATGTACATCCAGTGATTCATTTCTGCAAGTTTTATTACAGTTCTTCCAGTGGTTTGTGGTATATTTTGCTAACAGACATGCACACCTAGATGAGGGCAAAAACATGATCTATACAATAAAGGATTGTGCATTTGATAAAAGGAGAAAACCAAAAACATTTTTATTGCTATTTGATCGTTAAGATTCTGTATTTTTTGTTTTCATGTAAAAGTGGAACAAATAAGGGCTACATTTTCATTTCAGAATGCAAGTCTCTGTTTTTTTTTTTGAAGATGTCTTAAATGCTGTTTTATTTCTGTAACGATCTGAGTAATCGATCAAGAACAGTTCTCTGTGTTTGTTTGGGGTTTTTCTTCTCAAGCTTACAAGTGGGGTTTGTACCGCTTTCCAGCACCTTTCAGTTTTTTAGATCATCTAAAACTCTTTGAAGCAGTTTCCATGATGTAAGGCTTTCACAAAAGTGACTGTACTTTAACTCTACCTTCCCAATGAATTTATAGACACATTAAGTAAAAAATAGTTTCTGAACCAGCCTCTTGAGAGATGACTCTTCAGCAGATAAAGATAATCTTGTCATATTTTTCTGCATTTTTTTTCTGCTTCTAAATCTGGGTAATTGCTTTTTTAAAAGGACGGGTGCTGATATTTGTACCCCACCCCCAAAAAATTATATTATTATATTTATTATATTTATTTTTATTATATATAATTTTTTACAAAACATGAAAATTGTTTCTTATATCAATGGTAATCTTTAAATTTTTGATTTTTTTAATTTATGATTAAATGCAACAAAATAAATTTAATAAAAATAAATTAAATAAAAATAAATTTAATAAATTCCTGTCCCTGAGCTGTTGGCTTTAAGTAACTGAGCAATTTAGTTGAATAGCTCAGTATTAATATCTTAAAATAAGCTGCTTTAAAGTCAGCATCAACCATAAACTAAATATGCCTTTACTTTTAATAATATTTCTGTATTTATTTCAGATTTGATTTGATTTTGATTTATTTATTTAACAGGAAAAGATTATTAAAAATCAAGCCTGACTCAGCATAATTGCTGTTTTACAGCAGGTTCCTGTTCTGCAGCACATAAACACTCTGAATTACAGCATCACAATCACATCATAGACACAAAGACAAACAAGCATACCAAACTTCAAAAAGGCAGCATTTGCAAAATAGGACGTCTAAATATGAGCACTACAAAAAGTGTCCAGCAGATGGCAGACAAGATTYTTCTTAAAGGGCTGTAGTTTTGAAAAGGACTTTATGTTTTGAGGAACGTCATTCCATGCTTTATTATAAACATAGAAGAAAGACCTCTGGCCGTAACAGTTTTTAAAAGTTGGTAATATCAGCTGTCCTTTTGTAACAGATCTAGTTGAATGACCACTTCCAGAATTTGATTTGGGCARCAATGCACAGAGAGTTCCATAATTGGCACCTTGGAAGATCTGAAAATATAAATTAATACCACTATACAAAACATAATTCGGAAAAGTCAAGGCATCAGACAATGAAAGAACTSTACAGTGATGAGTCCAACCAGGAAGTTTTTTATGAATTTTGTAGGCCCTGTTGTAGAGCCTAACTATGGGTTCTAAGATTTCATATGT